TAAAGGAGCAAAGTACTAATGAGCTTCAGGCTACTAAATAGCAGATCTAGGGGAGAAGCCCTGTTTCATGTGAGAGCCTGTGGCTGCATACCAGCCAGTCTGTGAGATGTTGTGGAAGAAACACACTGGGTGGAGGCAGCAGGTGTGGGATGGGGGGGTGCAAGGAGAGACGAAAAAGGCAGCGTTGGTGGCTTAGAACATTCTGGTTGAGACTGGCTGGTTCTCTGATTGAGAACTGTCAAACGTGAGATTTCTCCGAATGTTTCATTATGTCAACGCGGCATTAGGTTTCCCTAGCACATCCCTTCAGCCTCTGAAGAGAAGAAAGAAAGCATTTTATGAACTGCAGTGCCTTCACACCAGGGTTGGAGTGTGTGTGTGTGTGTGTGTGTGTGTGTGTGTGTGTGTGTGTGTAAACCTTTCATGAGGAATTGGGATTAAAATCTCTAAGAAAATATAGCAGGCAGAAGCGACATGCAGTATTTATTTTCCCAATGGAAATGTAAACAGTGGCTGGAGAAGATGAAAATATTTAGAGAACAAACTGACCCAACCCAATTAAATGCTCCAAGAAATGCCTGCCTCACAAAGAAGGGTGAGAGCTGGTGGGTTTCACTGCATCTGTAATGGCTGGTGTCACTCATGCCTGAGTGCTCCTAGAACCCCTCTGGTAAATGTCCCTTCAGCCCATCACCAAAGTGTAGCATCTGAGGGACCCCAGGGCTCCCAGGGGCCAGTACGGACCTCATAAAGTTCAGACCCGAGTTAGGAGGTCTTACTGGAATGTGAGATGACAATTCTCAGGTTATTTCTGTTTCCTGACTTTTGTAGGCTGGAACCACTTTCTCGTGGGTCCAGTCTTTCATTCTCAGCTTCGCTCTAACACCCGGGATTGGGGAACAGCCCACAGTGACACCCTCACTTAGTTTCCCTCTGTGATGGTCAATGTCCCAAATGGGGCTGCCAAGACTTCCCCTAATGACTTCATTTTAATGAATGATGCTAAAACGAGCTGTTTGAAGGGAGCTCCTGTTTGCTTAACACACACCTCCCACTACCCGGCCAGCTTAGGTCTGAATTCTGCATTGAAAATTAAATTATGCTTGGGATAATATTGTCTGGAGCTCACAGTTGCTGACATGGATATTGACAAAGACTTAGCTAGTATTTCAATAAGAAAACAAAACACAGGAAAAGGTGCCAGAGTTTCCAGGAGGATCATTAAGAAGCCGCCTTGGAGGCCAGAGGCTGGCAGTGACTGCATCACAGTTCGTCATCCAACTTAAACTTCTTTTGACATCTAGTTATGTCGAAATGTGACTGATCACCTAGGGGTTGGAGCTCCTGAGAGGGAAAAGTTCACTGACAGGCGCAGTGCACAAGCAGCTCTTAAATGAGAATCAAGAGAAAGTAGCATCCGGGTTTCTTGACAGTCTGCAGCTGCTGCCTGCCCCGTCTAACTAAGGCAGGCCTGTTCTGGCGAGGAGTTCTATTAGCATCTGCACACTTCTGTCTCATTACCACACATCTGCCCACCTTTATTCTGGCGACGCTGCCTCTCATCTGACAGCTCAGGCATTGTCAGGGACTGGATATTAGGGAGCAAGGTACAGCGGGCGCACCGTCTCTGCTTTTATTTTCTAAAGACTGGTGTACGGTTTGACAGTACCCTGCCGCGGAGGTAAAGGAGATAATTAACATATTGGGCAGTTCCTAAACAAAGCTGAGATGCGGATTCTGGGTGAAACCGCCACGGTGTGAGCGAGGTTGTTTGTGGGACTGGGAGATCAAAAACTGTTATAGACCTCAGCTCTTTGCCCAGTCCCATGGCTGACGGCCTCGTACCAAAAAATGAGCTTCACTTCTCAACATTTCAACATTTTTTTAAAAGGCAGACTTTGATTTGAACAATGTAACCATCAGTATGTTGGCTTTGGGATTTTTCTGCAGAAACGTAGCATCCCAGCCCTTTCTGAGGCTCCCAAAGGCACTCCATGGTAATAGAGGAGAGACTGGAAGACCCAACTTGCCCTCAATTTCCTCCTATCGTTAAAACAATAGGTGAGTGCGGCTCTATTTATGCAAAACATCAGTCTCCCGTTGCTACCTTGAAACCAGAAATCTAGCAACACATCTGCCCCAAGAACCTGTGAGGGTAATTCTGAACCTGCCAGAATGTCAGATAGGAGAGTTTAGGAGTTCTTTGCTCATTTCCAGGGGCCAAAAGAACTGCCTCTCACCCTTGCCTGCTGGGCTCTGCTCTGGAGAAGAGGAAGGCCCCTCTGTGTTCAAATATAAGCCTGGATTCTGAAAGGGCTTTGAGCATTCCTGAGTTGAGTTCTAGATGAAGACTGATGTCCCTGGCACGGGTATGACACAGGATACAACTATGATCCCTCTGAAGGCAGGGAAACCCAGCCCCTTGCTTCCCAGGATCCTTCTTTACCTTCTAACACAGAGGAAACAATAGAATTTGGCAGAGAGGATAAAAGGTGCTCACTGGGACTCAAACCCCAAGGGACCCCAAAGAGAACCTAAAATGGCATCCCCGATGAGCCCACCAGGTTGCGAAGCTGGTGTGTGCAGCTGCATTTAGAGCCATTTAGGGAACTCCTGGCTTCCCTCCCGGCACTCCATGGCTTTCATCCCTCTGATATTTCTTTGTTCTCCTGCTCGCTGAGGGTTTGTATGGGTTAATGGAAAAATTACTGCTATTTTGCAACAATGCAATCAAAGTCAGTTCAGCAAACCCTGATAAAGTGAGAATAGCTTATTCACATGGAGCTGGCAGGCCTGAACTCACAATTGCAAAGTTTGAATACAAAATAAGATATTCCCCCTTTTTTTAAAAAAAAAAAAAAAGACAGAATCCGTTGTCATTCATGCTAAAAAGGCATTACAGACTGTCGACACTGTACAGGAAAATAGGAGATGTTGACCTTTTTATTATAGACTTTTCTCTACTGTTGCCCTTCTTTCAACTGCACACTGCTCCCCCCAGATCCCCCGCCCCTCTGTGCACTCACACACACTCTCTTCAGCTGTATGTTATCTCAAATAATTACCCTCGCTTCTGGCTGTCCCTGGTGACTTCTGCTGCTAAAAAAGCTACTCATTGTCGGAGACTGAAGAGGGATTTCAAACCTGCTTCTTGTGGCCGGGCAACGGCTCTTAATTAACCACTCAGGTATTGTGGAAGCTCCCAGCCCAGCTCACTTCCATATGGCTGGGACATGTCCGCAGTGATAATCATGGAAGGAAATATTGTATCAAAAAAGAGCTCACACAACCGAAAGCTTGTGCAAATTATTTTTAATGATTCTTCTCTGGTGAGTCGGCTTATTTGTTATTTCAAGCAGAGAGAGGAATGCATTTGTCCTTGACCTAGATCCCTCCAGCTCACGCCCCTGGTGCCCCCCCAACCCCAAACGTGATCCAGAGGACTGTCATAAAGAGTATGCCCCAGGTAGTGAAGCCCCTCCAGACGCCCTAGAAAGCTTTCCTTGCTATGATTTTCATAAGCTTTTGTTTCAATTGGGTGCCTCACTCTTAAACACACACACACGCGCACACACAGATTTGACCAAATTTCCAGCAAGCAAGTGATTTTAAATAACTCGAGGAGTGCGCTGTTTGGCAGTGCCTCACATCTTCGTGCTTCTGTATTTCTTACTTTAAATAATTGGGAAGGGGGTGGAGGGGAGGTGGTGAAGTTTATAAATCTAATTAAAAATGAAGTTGCATTTACATTTTTAAACCCACCCACCTGCCAGCATACTGTGTCACTAGACATTATGTACGATTTTACTTTGCGGCAGAAACCATTACATTTAAAAATTCATTACAGCAAGGTTATTTAGACACATGATGGATGCAGCTTTAATCCTGCCATATATTATTATGGTTAAAATGTAAATGATGAAAAATATTTTGTGCTTATCAGCATTTATGTGGAAATGTGTTTTACAGTGATATATGGTGTTATATTTCTATTATTGTGATGAAAAGAAAGCAATACAAAAAGATGAAGTGTTTATTAAAACATGGTTACTTGTGATAACATATTCCTGTTGTACATGACTTTAAACATATTCACTGAGGGCATTTGTCCAAAACAACTGTGAAATGTGTTTGCTGTGAGAATCAGGCTAAGTTTTTTTTTCTGATTACAGCTCTTTTTAATAGGCTAATATTAATTCAAAATCATGTTGAATGCTGAGAAGTTGGCAGCCCTGTTTCCTTTCTGACGTGGTTAAAAATGTGTGTGTGTGTGTGTGTGTGTGTGTGTAAACACAGTGTGTGGCTATGAACAGAAGCCTTGCGTGTTTGTTTTGTACAATAATCAAGAGGAAAGCAGGCCACCCAATTGAATGATATTTCCAAAGTGATGTCATCAAGGACACCATAAAATCCTATTAGAGTTGTAATTAACATAATGGAAAAGTCATATCAAACTTGACTTTCCAATCAGGTGAGTAGAAAAATAATGAAAAGCCCAGGTTAAGTACATTCATGGTTCCACCAGGGCACAGGAATATTTTAGATACACCCATGGAAGAGCTGATGTGCCAGCCACACTGCAAATCTCAGAGACTGCCTTATGGGGAGGTGACCTCCTAATTCTCCTTCTGCCAACTTCACTCACAATGTGGTTCCTGCCTCCCCCACTCCCCTCTCCTTTTTTTTTTTTTTTTTTTTGCCAGCCCAGACCAATAGTACATCTAACTACAAAATGAAATAGAATGCAAGAAGAAAAACAAACCCTCATCAGCAACCAAAAGAAAAAAAAGAGGAAGAGAAAATTACTAACCCTATTTATTGAAAAGAAACAAAACACAAAGGCCTTTCTGCATTCTCTGCTGTAGCTCTCATCATTTAGGATGAGATGCTTAATATCTCCTCCAACTGTCCTTTCCCCTGTAACTTTCAGAATCACAGTGTTGTAATCATATTTATCCAGGTACCCAAGAAGCATCTCTGTTAAGGTGGGTCTCTGTTACCTGATTCACTGTATCAGTTATAACTCTTTCTCCAGCCTCCAGTTGATGACAGATCTTGTAATAGATTTGCAATTGACCAGACTTGAAAGTCAGTTCCAACTTTCCCCCTTTTTCCTTCATTGTCCCAAATGTCTCCTGGGGTGGGAGCAACACAGGCTTAATGCAAATTTTCATCGAATTCTCCACCCCAACCCCACCCCCAAGCACCCCGCCGGCTTCTTTTTCTCCTTCTAACATCTGCTTGTAGGAGGATGTTGTTGTGTACATTAGCGCATTAAAGTTGAGCACCCTTCGGGGCTACCTTTGGCACAGGAAACAAGGAAACGGGGAGCCAACGATAATACAGGCCTCGGCATTTCCGATCTCAGCACTCTCCCCAGCTCTGCTTCTCGGCGGCCTGAGTTGTTATCCTTAGGAAGTCCAAGGTGGTGAAGAGGGAAAGCTTATCTGGCTCCCATCCTAGTTATAAAGCATGCGGCTCCTCCCTGTACACCTTGGGAACATTGTCACAGAGGGGTCACATCCGCTCAGATTTGAGCCAGTGACCGAATGCGGGCCTGTGACCTACACTGTCCTTCCCTCCCTTTGTTTGTGGCATAAAATCAACTCAGCTGATTCCTCCAAAGCACGGGTGCCAGGATTTGTGAGAATTCAGAGCCTCGGCACGTTCTCCAAGGCGTAGTCTTTTTTCTGGCCTTTCTCTTCCTCTTTATTTGTTTTAATTCTTATTTTAAAGAATCACACACACAAACATTCTCAAGAAAATGGGCTCTTAAAAAACAGCTCACCCAAACCACACCCCTTCAGTCCATTTTCCTGGGTAAAGAATTTCCCAAAGCCAGGATCCAAGGAGCTGTGGACCGATTGACCCGAGGTTGCCCTATTAAATGTATTTATTTCTTCGAGCTGAAGAATATTTGCTGAAAGCTGGATTATCACTTGGTAGACCACCAGCAGCTGTTGAAAACCAGGGCATAAAACCTTGTTTATGTCTTTAATGGCCCACTTAATGATGGAGCAAGTATGTTATTCATAATAAAATGCCAAGGAATAATCTTAATACCCCAATGCATGGTGCTAGTGAATTAAGAAACATCTGCTATGTCACAAAAGAACATTTTATTTGGGGTCTACATTAAAAACATGATTCCATGGAGTTCCACTGATTTATATTGTACACAACAAATTATGATGTCTTGAAGTAATTATACTTTACAATTAAACCTACAAGGGCCACTCTCGGAAAAGCAAAAAAAACTGCGGTATTCATCATTCTAGATCATTTAAGCGCATACGGTGGCCTTGCCATAATCTATTTCACCAAAGCAATGTTTCAGAATCTCTCTTGGCATCTGTACCTCTCTAGGAAGACATCCAAACTGCACGGTGTTCCTGAAATTACCACTGCAGAATAAAATGGCTATTTGGATTCACAAGGAAAAATGTAAAAATAATTCTTTTCAGTCTCTTGACTGTGACTCGAGAGCTTATATTAATGTTACTTGAGCGAAGAAGATTCAGAATTTGGGCTTAGTTGTGGATGAAGAAGATGACTTCACCCTCAAAGGCTTAATTTGTGTGTTGGGGTTAGGGGGAGCGTTCCCCCCAGAAAGAGAGATTTGGGGAGACTGGGACAGAGAAGTCCTAGAAGTGTCCCTGGATGGGAGTAGGTGCTGAAGGGACCGGGTGTGGCCAGCTCAATCTCAGCCCCCCTCCCCTCTACTCCAGATGGCGTCCGTCTCTGACACACCCGCTATCACACCAGGAAGCCATGTGTCACCACCTCCATGCCCAACACCCCTCAAGATTGCAGGGACGTGTCTATTGCTTCCTGGAGCTGGATGCTTAGAAAGGTCCTCTTGCTCCACAAGAGAAAAGACAAGTTATTTTAAAAGCTGGCTGCAGGGCAAGCTGGTTGTTCAAGGGCAGGGCTCTTGACCCTGTGCTTTGGGGAATGATGAGGAGAAAGAAAAGAATAGCTGTACCCGACTCCACTCCCAGGGATTCCAGTTTCATTGGCCTGAGGTACTCCCCCACAACACCAGCTCGCACCGGTATTTTTTTAAAAAGCTCCTACATGATTCTCATATGTAGCCACTGTCAAAAACCACTGTTTTAAAGAGATTGGATTTTTTTTTTCTTTTTAAAGGTAGGTGACACTTTTGCAGGGCAAACACTTTGACAAGCCTTTTTGATTGTAAAAAGTAAGGCTGCCTGCTGTTGGAATATCTGATAGTGAGGTCCCTGTGAAAAACTGTATGGTGTTTCCTTAAACAAAAAACTAAAAATAGAATTAGCATGCGATCCAGCAATTCCACTTCTAGATATATACCCCAAAGAACTGAAAGCAGAGTCCTAAAGGGATGTTTATATGCCTATGTTCATAGCAGTATGGCTCATAACAGTCAAGAGGTGGAAGCCACCCCGTGATCCTCAACAGATGAAAGGACAAAACGTGGTACCAACACGTAGCGGGATACTACTCTGCCTTGAAAATGAAGGAAATTCCCATGCGTGCTACAACATGAATGAAACTTGATGTGAAGCTAAGTGAAATCAGCCAGTCACAAAAAGAAATATTGTATGATTCGACTTACATGTAGAGTGATCAAATTCATTGACAGGAAGTGGAATGGCGGCTTCCAGGAGGTGGTGTGATTGAGTTTGAATGTCTGTTCCTGCCAAATGTTATATTGAGCTGTAATCCACAAGGATGGAGGCGGGGCCTGGTGGGAGGCGTTTGGGTCATGGGGGCAGATCCCTCATGGCTTGAGGCTGTTCTCCTGATAGTGCGTTCTCTCAAGATCTGGTTAAATGTATACCTCCACCCAACTCCCCAACCCTGCCCACAACACTCTCTCTTGTTCCTACTATCACCATGTCATGGCCTGCTCCCAATTTGCTTCTGCCATGAGCGAGAGCTTCCTGAGGACTCCACGGACGCAGATAAGGGCTGGCTCCATGCTTGTACAGCCTGCAGAAACATGAACCAATTAAATCTCTTTTCTTTATAAATTAACCGGTTTTGGATATTTCTTTCTTTTAAAAAACAAAACAAAACAAAACATTTTTTTGAGACAGAGTCTCTCTCTGTCACCCAGGCTGGAGTACAGTAGTGCCATCTTGGCTCACTGCAACCTCTGCTTCCCAGGTTCAAGTGATTCTCTTGCCTCAGACTCCTGAGTAGCTGGGACTACAGGCACCCACCAACAGGCCTGGCTAATTTTTTTTTTTTTTTTTTTTTGTATTTCTAGTAGAAACAGTTTTCACCATGTTGGCCAGGCTGGTCTTGAACTTCTGACCTCAGGTGATCCGCCCGCCTGGGCTTCCCAGAATGCTGGAATTACCGATGTGAGCCACTGCACACGGCCTCAGGTATTTCTTTATAGCAGTGCAAGAATGGCGGCAGGGAAAGGGAATGGAGTTATTGTTTAAAGGGGACAGAATTTCAGTTTAGAAGATGAATGGGGTCTGGAGGTGGATGGTGGCGGTGGTTGCAGAACAGTATCCACATACTTATCGATTGTACCTTGCTAAATGGTACGCTTAAATGGGTTAAGATGGTAAATTTAATATTATGTGTATTTACCACAATTTTAATTTTTTTTTTTTTTTAATTTTGAAAGTGAAGGTATCTGGGCTGCTCTAGTGAGGAGCCAGTGAGAAGAAGAGAGGCTGTGGCTCTGTGTTACAGAGTAACGTGAATTTGGGAGTTTCTTGCTGTCACTGGTGACCTGAGAGAGGGTTTGGAATTCGGTCTGGGAGGACAGGGCCTGCCCCCATTATTCTGACGCTTTCAGTAGGGTCTATGTCTCACAGACACATCAGTTTGGAGGATGGCAAGAAGGTGCTGAGTGGGATGGGGACATCATGGCAGATGCCCAGTCGTGCTCCAGCATGGCACAGGCCTTTGGAGTGAGAGGAGATAGATCCAGTCCTCTGGAGGGGAATGATAGGTGGGGAGGGAGCAGGAATTTAGGACCCCAGGAGGAACCCAACCAGGGAGGAGTTTTCTGTGTGCCAAAGACTACCCTATGAACGTCTAGAAAGATGTTCAATTACAGTGCAATGTCTACATTCTAATTGAAGATGATCACTTTCTTCTTTGTGATGGGACGTCTTTCCACCACCTCTGTACCCTCAGACCCTGGCAAGAGGGGCCCTAGTCCTGGCTGCTGTGTGCTAGAGAACCCCACCAGAGTCCCTCTTTGCCTGGGACCCATAGGCAAGGAGATTGCAGTGTCCACCTGAGCCAGCAACCTCTTTTTCTAGATTTTTCTTCTCTGTAAATACTTACTATCTGGAGAAGAGTAAGTATTTTCGGCTCTGCCAATCCATCCATCTCTGTCACAAATGCTCCAGTCTGTTGTAGTAGCAAAAATGCAGCTAGAGATGATATATTACTATGTAAATGAATATGCGTAGTTGGATTCCAATAGCTCTTTTCACAAACACTGAAAGTTGAATTTCACATCATTTTTATGTGTCACAAAATATTATGCTTCTATGATTATTTCCAATCATTTAACAGTGTGAAAACCATCTGAGGTTGGCAGGCCATGCAAAAACAGATGGTGGGCTGGGTTTGCCCATCGCCCATAGTTTATCTGTCACTGGTCTAGCCCGTACCCAGGACCCTGGAATTTCCTGGCCACATTGCCCCATGCCCATTTCTAGGGGTTGCTTTCCAAGGGTTAACTGTGCCCTATGTCTGAGGGCAGCCAGGAGGTGGCTGTGTGTAGGGATTGTGGGCAGAGACTGATGTGAAGGTCTACACCTGCCAGCCAGAGGCCCCTCCTAGTGTGCAAGGAACTGGGGGGTAGAGGGAAGGAGAGTGGGTTACAGGCCTAACTCTGAGGAGTCCGTGAATTCTAAATTCAAGGAAAAGTTTTATGTCCTTAGACTTTTGATGAGTGGGCCTTCATGGGTGTTCCAGGGTATACAAGCATTAAGAGTGGCCCTGCCCTCATTATCAGTAGGGTCTGCATCTTACAGCAGACAGTTTATGGCCCTTTGAGGCTGGCAGGAAGGTGCTGAGCCAGGTGCAGTGGGGACACCGTGGCCAATGGAGCTCCAGTGCAGTGCCGGACATCAGAGTGAGAGAAGAGAGGCCCTGACCTAAGGAATCTTCAGACTTCTTGCCAAGAGGCTGTTCTTTCTTTGGTGGGTGGGTGCATAAGCCTTTTTATATAGATATTAAAGAAAATGGAACCCTTGAAGAATTTGGTTACACTCAAGGTCACACAAGGATTCCCTGGTTATCGGCATGCCTCAATCTGAGGTCTCTCTGTCTGCAGCTGGGACAAGCTTCAAGTCTGGTGTTGACAAAATCAGAAGCATGACTCCCCCACCCTGGCACTACCATCGATCTTTCTCTGGGTTGGTTCCATCCTTTTCTGCCTAGGTCATCCCTTAATTCTTTAAGTGTAATTAAAACCTCCATCTAACTGCCAGCCTTTGCCCAGAGGGAAGCTGGCAACC